GCTCCTTTCATCTCCTCGGTGTAATATTTCACTGATCAATGCCGAAACTGGACCCGATGGGTCTCCTTTTCCTCAGAATCCGTTTCTCCTCAATGTGCTGAGAGAAAAATCCCGAGCAGGGCTTTATTTGCAGACGAGGGATTCTCCTCAGTTGCTTAGTGGCTCATTTAGGAAGCTGCCTGATTTTATTTCCTGTCCAAGACGAAGACAAATGCATCTTCAGGCGCTCCGGCTTCTATTGAGTTTTCTCATTATCAAGCTGCTCCGAGCCTTAAGAGGCTGCCTCCTGCTCGCCTGTCATCCGGGCCCGACAGTTTTATCAGGCTGCCCACTGGGACCGTTTACATTGTTTTAACAGACAAAAACGCGTGTTTGGGAGAAGGTGAAGTGTTTATTTGGTCATTTGTCTTCGTTGCCCGTTGATAAAACACACAGAAATCCTGTTGCAAGATTAAAATATATATATATATAAAAAATTATTAAGATGTGAAATTTCAGGTGAAGGATGAAAAAGAGCTGCAGGTAATTTAGCAATGAGCACAAAGCTAATATTGGAGTTACTGTTCGGAGAGAGGAGTGAAGTCGTTTTTATACGGGGCCACGCACGACAAGGCAAAAAACATTAAGCTGTCCGAGAGCCATCACTCAGCTCGGGACCGAGGAGGAGACCCCAGTGAAGTCCATTTCAGACGAATCACAACCGGTTTACAAGCTGAAGTAAAAAGCTGAGGTTGTGAGGCTCCACAAACACACATTCTGACAGACGATAAACTGTCGAAGAAAGAAAAAGTGGGAACAGGAGGTTACATCTGAAAATCAGACTTCTTCTTCTTTATGCTCTTCAGGGACCTTCACAGCAAATCCTCGTCCTCCATCTCACTCTGTCCTCACTCCATGTCCTCTCTAACTGCATCCATATGTCTCCATTGGCCTTCCTTTCTGTCTTTTTGGCCCTCCTCTGGACATGTCCAAACCACTGTCCCTCCTCTGGACATGTCCAAACCACTGTCCCTCCTCTGGACATGTCCAAACCATCTCAGTGTGTCCTCTCTAACTTCATCTCCCAATTGTTCAACCTGTGCTGTACCTCTAATGATCTCATTCCTCACCTTCTCCATCCTTGTCTCTCCTAAGGAGAACCTCAACATCTTCATTTCTGACACTTCCAGTTCTGTCTCCTGTCTTTTTGTCCATGTCTCTGTCTCCAGACTATACAACATAGCTGGTCTCACCACTGTCTTGTAAACTTTTCCTTTGACCTTTGCTGACATCCTTTTCTCACAAATCATTCCTGAAACTTTTCTCCATCACTCCATCCTGCCTGGACTCTCTTCTTCACCTCCTTACCACACTCCCCATGTTCCTGGACAGTGGACCCCAAGTCCTTGAAGTCCTGCGCCTTTGTGACCTCTGCTCCTTGTAGCCTCACTGTTCCACCTCCTCCCTCTCATTCACACACATGTACTCCGTTTAATACGGCTGACTTTCATTCATCTTCTTTCAAGTGCATACCTCCACCTCTCCAAGTTCTCTTCCACCTGTCCCCTGTTCTCACCACAGAGCATGCTTTAATCACAACTCAGGCCTATTCAATAAGTGGCCCGCAAGCTATATACGGCCTTTTAAAAGTTTATTTGTCCCCCACAAAGCAGCCAGAACCTCAAACTGATTTGTCTGAAAATAATATAGCTACTTTTGTCCGCAACCCTCCTGCTGCCCTTGGGTCAGAGTGACCCACGATGCAGACTTTTAGCTCATTTTGACCCAAGGGCAGCAGGAGGGTAAACATAAGCTAGAAGTCTGCCACTAAAGCAGACAACCTTCAGTATTGTTGCACCCACACGCAAACCTGCAATCAGTTGTGTAGCGCTCAGAGTTGTGAATGATTCTCAGCTACTGCTACACCAAAGTTTTGCACGTCTGTAAAACTAAGTTATGTGTGGTCTCGAAGTACAGTTGGTCGTGGCAGCCATCTTGAATTGGACTGGTTCGAGATAATCAGTTGAACAGCCACGGTGAACAATTATTACCCGAAAGCTTTATTAAAATCCGCCCTGTGGTTCATGAGATATTTTGCTAACAGAGACATGCAAACACAAGGACACAGACACAAGCAAAGATATAATTGCTAGGGATGCACGATATTGGATTTTTGGCCGATATCCGATTTGCCGATACGTTAAAACTTATTTGGCCAATAACTGATACCAATACCAATATTTTTCCCCCTAGACCCACTTACAGAGACTACATAACCTTCTCTGCTGTGGAATTAAAATATATTATTCTGCAAGATCTTTGTCTCTTTGGCCTGCTACCAAACGCAGATGTCAGAAAGGGGTCTGAAAAAGATGCAACACTTCAACTTGGATTATGTTTAATGTCAAATTTATTCATGACATTTACTCTCTTTAACACGACAACACTCAACGCAAATTTGTAAATATTCACGAATCTAAACTCAACGGCACGTGTGACGTCATAATCCTTGTTACTGGGATGTCGTACAAAAACAGCGCCTTTTATATCGGCGAGTTACTTTGATGGAATGGCCGATGTCCGATATTTAACTTTATCGCTAATATTGGCCGATATCGATACCATGCCAAGAATATCATGCATCCCTAATAATTGCCCACCCCTAAGAAAGACAAAGGTGGGTGGCAATTATTGCTTGCAGCCCTCAAAGCCCCAGTAAATTTAAACTACGAGCGTATTCTGAGCTAATTCAATGCCTTTCTTTAAAATACCACCTTGTACTTTTCAAGGTAACCACACACACTCGTAGCGCAATTTTAACAGTTTTAACTGTTAATAAAACTAAATTTTATATTTCTTTACATTTCCCCACGTCTCAAAGAAGGATCGGTCGTCAAATGACATCTTGTTTTTAACTCAACAGTAAATAAACTAAACCAGATTTATGTTAGTTTGTTAGAAAAGTAATACTTAAAAGATATCCAAGGATTCACGACTTCATGTTCTCCACTCCAAACTTCAAACATAACTTTACGTTATTGCCCGTTTCTAACAGGCATGGGATGAAATTGTGCTTTTGCCTGTCCTTGTGTGTTAGCAAAATATCCATGGATGTAAATGAAACCTACAAACAGTAATTACTGGGCATATATTGACGCTGGTTAACTTTTGGAATCAAGCTGATTCAAGATGGCCGCCACAGTCTTTAAATAAATAAACAAATTGACAATAATTCAGCCATTTTTACAGATTCTGATCTAAAATTTGGTTTGGTAGTAGCTGAGACTGATCCACAACATCTGCATGAGCAGATTCTTTCCTTTTAACTATATGGGCTTAATGCCTGTTAGCAAAATATATCATGAACGGAATGGAATGGACTTTAATGAAACTTACAGGAAATAATCACGGGATGTTCGACTATGACCGATTAGCTTTTGAAGCAAACATAATTCAAGATGGCCACCACAGCCACCTGACCTCAGCAAACACAAGGATCACTATAATTTAGCCAGTTTTAGATATATAGAGAGCTAAACTTTGACGTGGTAGTAGCTGAGAGTTGTTCAAAACGGCTACAACTCCGTCATCTCTCAACATAAAAGGATTTTATCCAAAACTCTGACACGAGGAGTGATTACTTCGATTTGTTTATGTTTTAATGATAAAGAACAATATCTCCCACTTCACGTATCAAAATAATGTTAAATTCATCTTCAAACAGAAGCCCCTGCAGACAAACATGAAAACTGTCATCCATTTTTCATGCACAGGTAATCTGATTTAAACAGGTTAAATATTTATTCGTGGAGTGCTGAGTAGATCCAACCACTCCCTAACTAAAAAAATATATATTTTCTTGGTTTGTGCTGGAATAATAGGAATGCATTCTTCATAAAATAGTAAAAGTACCCAGAATCCCATTTGACATCTAGTACCAGTAGTTTACTTCCTGTTTGAGTGAGCCATGATGACGCAATTTTAAACGTTTACTATTACAAAAGCTGCTTGATTTTCCTAAAAGGTACACAACAAAACTCTCTTACCCTAACGGTTAATGTTTTTAATTTGTCAGCACAATTGCAAATGTTTGCAATAAAGCTTTGGTGGCGACTTAAGGTTCATAACTACTTAATATTATTATAACGACTGAACAAGCTTAACATTCATCTATGATTATTTGCTGAAAGATTTTTGGCAAACTCTAAAAAAAAAAAAAAAAAATGTAGAAACTGCCATTTTAGTGACAGATGACAACTTTTTGCATTGACATTAATGTTGAGTTTTAAAGTGATGTAACTTTCCTCTGTTCTAACCCACAGACAGGGTCTTGGTATCATTTGGAAGTTCTTTTGAAGCTCTTTAAATTGTTGTTAAATGTGTCCCAGGTGGAACCCTTTGGACCTGTGGATCACCTGCAGGACGCTTTGTCAGCAGATTGTGTAGAAACTTGTTGACTGCTCTCTGCACGCCTCTCTCCCCCACGGTGTCACAAGGATTCCCCGCAGCAGCGTGGACAGGGACATCCACTCACAGGACGACACGGAGAAAAAATGCATCAAGTTTGGGTCTTCATTCGGACCCGAACCTGAACACAACTCCTCCTCCACATGTTTGGGCTCAACTTTGGACAGCAGAAGGAAGAGCTAATGGTGGGGCGTTCAAGAACATTCCATCTCAGTGGGAAACCAGAGCTGCCTGGTGTTCGGTTCGGAAGAACAGCGGCGTTTAAACCTGACGGAACCAACTGGAGCCAAAGGTCTAACCATGTGCATCCCGGCCGACGATGGAGTCACCTTATCAGCACACTTCCCCCCCAGTAAACCCCCCCTCATCGCCGGTGTGTGCAACTGCAGGGCCCGGCGCCGCCATACACCACCACCACCACCACACAGACCCGTTTAAACAACAGCGTGTCCCGGAGCGACAAGAACGAAGAGCGAGCCGGGACCGAAACCACGGTGGCCGAACCGTCGGGGACGGAGCCGTGAAGCCCCGCGGCAGAAAGTGGACGAACTAACCTTTTAGGAGAGCCGCACGGTCCGCTGGATGTTTGGGTTGAATCCGAGTTAAATCCACTATCAGTGTAACAAAGAGGCGAAAATGACCGAGCGGCGGCGGAACAGGCCGAAACTCCGGGAGGACCGGGGCGCATGCGCAGAGCTGCAGCAGCTGGAACGGTGAGGGGAGGAGGGGTGGGTGAATGAGTTCAGCTGATTTCTAAATATTGATCCACTGAGTTTGTCATCAATTATTAATATGACGCCACTTCCTGAACACGAAACATTCACAACGACAATATAAGCTCCTAAAAGATGATTTAAAAACCGGTGATCACAGAAATTATTTATATTATAAGAAATGTATTTATGCAAAAAAGAACAACAAAAACAATGAAGCTGTTACTTATTTAGATAACTTATTTATTAGTATCTGTTGAAACTGTAGTTACATAATACATACAACATTTGTTGTTGTTGTTGTTGTTGTTGTTGTTGTTGTTGTTGTTGTTGTTGTTGTTGTTGTTGTTGTTGCTGCTGCTGCTGTTACTGTTGTTGTTGTTGTGGCTATTGTTACTGTTGCTGCTGTTGTTGTTGTTGCTGTTGCTTTTGTTGTTGCTGTTGTTGCTGTTGTTATTGTTGCTGTTGCTGCTGCTGTTGCTTTTGTTGTCGCTGTTGTTGTTACTGTTGTTGTTGCTGGTGTAGATGTTGTAGCTATTCTTGTTGTTGTTGTTGTAGCTATTGTTACTGTTGTTGCTGCTGCTGCTGTTGCTGTTGTAGCTGTTGTTGCTGTTGCTGCTGCTGTTGCTTTTGTTGTTGCTACTGTTGTTGTTGCTGGTGTAGATGTTGTAGCTATTCTTGTTGTTGCTGCTGCTGTTGTTGTTGTTGTTGATGTTGTTAATGTTGTTGTTACTGTTGCTGTTGCTGCTGCTGTTGCTTTTGTTGTTGCTGTTGTTGTTGCTGGTGTAGATGTTGTAGCTATTCTTGTTGTTGTTGCTGGTGTAGATGTTGTAGCTATT